GACGCTCTGGGAACACGACGAACACAAAGTGGCCTACAGTTGGCTCCGGACATCCAGAATGTGGCCCGGGAGTTGTGTTCTGGGAACAGGAAGAACACGAAGTGGCCTACAGTTGGCTCCGGGGTTTCAAAATGTGGCCCGGGAATGGTGTTCTGGGAACACGAAGAACACGAAGTGGCTTACAGTTGGCTCCGGGCATGCACAATGTGGCCCGGGAATGGCGTTCTGGCAGTGCGAGAGCCCAAAAGTGACGACAGTTATAGGATTTGGATGACCCGCTCGGATTACCAACGTGATCTGCGGGCCCCATGGGGAGGGGGCTCCCGCTTGAGATTTCCTTATAATTCACTCACAGACGAGGCTCCCGCCTGAGACTTCCTCCAAATTCAGGCCTGAAGAGCCCAAAAGTGACGACAGTTACAGGGTTTGGATGACCCGCTCGGATTACCAACGTGAAGCGCGGGCCCCATACGGAGGGGTTCCCGCCTGTGACTTCTTCGCAATTCACTCACAGACGAGGCTCCCGCCTGAGACTTCCTCCGTACTCAAGCTTGAGGAGCCAAAAAGTGACGACAGTTACGGGGTTTCGATGACCCGCTCGGATTACCAACATGATATGCGGGCCCCATAGGGAGGGGGCTCCCGCCTGAGACTTCCTCACAATTCTCTCACAGACGAGCTCCCGCTTGAGACTTCCTCCAGGTGAATATGTGAATGAATGAGCGTGTGACAGAGTGCGAGTGCTGATGATGATGATGATGATGATGATGATGATGAACATGTGAGTGACTGAGCGTTTGAGAAAGCGCGAGTGATGATGCTGATGTTGATGATGAGAGAGTGTGAGTGAGTGTGAGTGTGAGTGAGTGGTGATGATGATGAGTGAGTGAGTGAGTGTGCGAAGGCAGAAGAGGAGAGGGGTCGGGGTGAGTGTTCCTGCGCGGGGTGTGCAGAGAAAACAAGAACCCCACTTTGGATGTGGGGAAAAACAAAATTGTGATCCACCGCATTTTTGATGGCACAGAGCCCAGATTTCAGGGTACAGAAACACACCCCTTACACCGCATGGGTCGGCACCATTCTCCTACTTGATCGCGAGTGCGCTCTCCCACTCGCCTGCTCTCCTGCTCGTGTGGGGCCATGGGTGGGGGAGTCGGAGGGCGTTCTCTTACCCGCCTGCTCTCCTATTCATATTTGGAACCATGGGTGGGGGAGTAGGAGAGTGTTCTCCTACTCGCCTATTATCCGACTCGTGTCGGAGAGTAGGCGAGTAGGAGAACGCCCTCCTATTCCCCCACCCATGTTCCAAACGAGTAGGAGAGCAGGCGAGTGGGATAACGCTCTCCTATTCTTCCAACAGCAGGTCGGACACGAATAGAGGAGCAATCGAGTAGGATAACGCCATGGTCACCCACCTTCGGTCCAGGCGTGAGTTGGAGAGTAGGCGAGTCAGACGGCCCCCGAGTTTTCCAACCCAACCCATTATTCGGAACACGGTTGCGGGGAGAAGCCTGGGAAAGAGTTCTGCGCCGCTTTGGCTCAACGTTGCGACCAGAGTGTGGTTGTCCGCCGACTTCGCCCGACCGCTTCTCCGCTGTGCGCCAGCATGCCTGTGTCCTCGGCGATGACCTGGTCCGACGCCGTAGCTGCCGCGAGTGGCAAGGTGGTCGATTGCCCCCCGACCTACACATACGACCCCTTCTGCCGCGCAGCTCGCAGGCACATGGCCGCTGAAGGAGCTGAACCTGATGTCTTCCAGCATCTCTCACGTGGTCGACGTTGTCCGAGAGTTTGCGATCACAGGCGAGATCAAGAAGGAGGTGGCCGAGAAGTATTCCCAGGGCGCGTTGAAGGAGCTTCCTCACCCTTTCTGCCCTGGCACCCGCCTTCAAGATGCAGCTCCTGGTTTGGAGCCCGCCGACCTCTGCTGGCTCGCCCACGGACCCCGTGCCCTTGCTCATCAAGCATTCCATCTTCGACAACAAGACGACGGGCAAGGTGGCGAAGTCCATCACCAAAGGGGAAGTCTTCGGCATTGACTGGCAGGGCGTTTCGGCTCGTGGAAGCGCTGGTCGGACCGCTGTTCAGTTGATGTTTCGCGCCATGAATGGCTTCCAGCGCACGTGCTTCGGCGCGAAGGCATCCGCGCCTCGGGGCGACGCGGGCGAGGGCATCATGGACCCCGAGGACGTCGACGCTGGCATCGACTACATCAACTTGCGCGCCCCCAGAGATGCCGCCCAGAACGCCCAACTCCGCTGGATTCTGAAGAAAGTGAACGACAAGTCTTCCCCGATCTACAAGTGGCAGCGCGGCGTCGGTAGGGGGGCGATCAGCAACCTGGCGCTGGGCGACGGCCAGCGCACCACCCAGCTCAGGCATCCAGTCGCGCTCCTTGACTTTGCTGGCTGGTTTCGCCGTGCTTTCGAGCGGCTTCAACCCACGCTTGCGTAGGAAGGCGTCATCTTCGTGGGAGAGCTTCGGCAGGGGAAAACGCCAGTGCTGTATGCGCTCTGCATGGCGCTTTCCCGCTATTGGATTGCCCGCGACGCGGTGGATCGAGAAGCGTCTTTGCGCTGCGCCGTCGACCTCGACTCTCCTCGTCGGAATGCTGGAGACAAGTGCCGCCCAGACGTGGTGGGCGACGGAGACGTGCGGGGGCAGGGCGTGAGCAAGTGGAAAACGCTCCTGGACGTGGGCAACACTGAAGCCATGACCCGCGAGAGGTGGGGATTCTCGAAATTCCCGAAGTCGCAGTTCAGGGGCGTCGCGATGAACAGCTACGACGCAGATGCTGAGCCATTGCTCGCCATGGCGAGGCCGAGCGTGCCCAGCGGGGCCTCCCTCCCAGACGCCAAGGCGACGCTTAAACGCGCGAGCGTGTGCCTCAACGCGACGGCCACGCTGTGCACCAAGGGCGCCGCCAAGGACTGCGTGCGCTGCTGCCCGACCCCCGAGGGCGAGAGCGTCCTCGCGTCCGAGGCGGGCGCGGCGTGGAAGCGCTTCAACGACTTCGACGAGATGCCCGAATCCGACGCGTTCGAGGGGGATTTCTGCGCCGAGCTGGGGCTTCTGAAGGAGGTCGTGGACCCTCTGTTCGACGACGTGCCCGCGAAGAAGAGGCGCCCCTTCGTGGGGGGGCCAGATCGCATCAGCCGTTCAGCCCGCAGTCCTGCGGAGGCGGCGGGGCCGCAGCCCGCCGAATGGGTCGACAAGCACTTCCGCTGCTTCGGGGGCGCTTCGGAGGATAAGGTCGAGCGCGAAGAGGCGATGGCGCGGGCCCAGGCGTCCGAGCTCGATGCCGCGGCCGCGGTGGCGGAGGAACTCTCGCTCGAGGACCTTTACGAGATATTCGAGGCCCGGGCAGGAGAGGAGGCGGCGACGTACATGGGGCACTACGGGCGCCGTGCCAACGACTCCGCCGACTGAGCAGGCATCCCGCCGAGGGGGGCATTTTCTCGCGCATTGCGCGATGTAAAGCCGCGCCGACATAGCGCTCGGCGCCGCCGCCCTGGCGCCAGCGTTGCGCCGATGCTGATAGCAGCGCGCGCGAGCGGGATGCCGCGACTGCAGTCCACCAACAGAGGCTTTAATGTCAGCAGCCTAGCAGCCTCCTCGCTGGTATCGCCTCTTCTCGAAAAGCGCCGACGCGCAGCAAGTGTCAGGGTTTTCCTGCTGCGAGGCGCGATCCAGGACGGAGCTGGTGCATGGCCGTGCCCGCGGCGCGGTGAATAGAATGTCCGTGAAAAAACCCATCGCCTCGTCAGCGCATCCTGCCGTCGCCCCCCTCCCCCCCAGCTGCAGGCCACGGGGGCTCGCTGCTGCCCCGCCGAGCCGTTGTGGTCCGAGCGGGCGCGCTCAATTTCTGTCAGCTTCCATCTATGAAGCGCCCCGCAGCAGCTGGCAAGTGTCTCGCCGGGCCGCCCCCCCCCCCCCCCCCCCCCCCCCCCCCCCGCAATGGCGGCGCCCGGTGCGGGCAGCCCGCGAGGGGCAGGGGGGCCGACGCGGCTCGCCTGCATTCGTGTCGCGGGCAGTTTGGCCACCGCATCGATACTTGCCCTCTTCCAGCAGCCGAGGAGTTGATGAGGCTGCGCGAGCTCGCTCGGCCGCAGAAGACCATCTCTAAGCGAAGCATAGAGAGGATCACGCACCGCGCAGAGGGGCAGTACAAGGCTGGTCGGACCATGCAATGCACGGGCAAGCTGCGGCCAGGCGAAGCGCGGCCGAAAAGGGCATGGAGCCGCTGAACAATGGCGCCGACGGCAATTCCTTCGACGTGTGCGGAGCCGAGGAGGCCGTGCGGAACTTGGTCACCTACGGCTTCTTGCCCGCGCCGTCTACGTGCCCGAAGTGCGGCTCTGGCTTGGGGGTCGTCTCGACCAAGCGCATCGCGGGGTGCGTTCATTTCAAGTGCAAGGACAAGGGGCACTGCAGCGTTTGGCATAACGTCGTCGCCCTGAGTCGCTTCGGCAAGTGCAAGGTGAAGCCCGTCGACCTCAACCGTCTGGTCACTTACTTCTGCCGCAGCAAGCCAGCCGAGTCTCCGCGGGCCATGGGCGCGGACAGTCTGGTTGGAATCGGAAAGAAGGTCGCGGACCACGTCTTCAAGGTGCTGAGGCAGCGAGAGTCCGAGCTCGGGAAGGGCGAGTCCACCGACATGGCCTTGCATGGCAACGTCGAGGCAGACAGCCACAAGGTCGCGGAGTGCTTTGTGTCGCCGTCGAACAAGCACTTGGCCAAAAAGATCAAGGATTGGAAGAAGAGCGAGCCATCGCAACGAGAGCCTCCCGAACTACTTCAAGCTGCCCGTGCGCGTCGCAGGGGTGTCGCAGCGGGGCGGGCGCCTCATCCTGGCGCGCTTGCCGAACAAGGTGGTGTAGCCGAAGGGCCGCCCGCCGCCCGAAGCTGTTCGGGAGCTCCGTGCTGCGCGCTTGCTGGGCCGCGTGGTTCGACGGTCGCCGCGCGGCGCCAATCCCGCCGTCTTCGCTGATGGCGCGAAGGCGTGGTGGCAGTGCGCGGCCGACTACCCAAGCATCAACTTCGAGCAGGTCAGCCACGCTCGCTTCCAGTTCGCCAAGAAGACCGGGAAGAAGGTCGGGGCGTCCGACGTGGCGGGCGCCCAGTCCATTGACGCCAGATGGAAGAAGCTCCAGAAATTCTTGCCGAAAGAGCTGAAGGCTCGCTCTTGGCCGACACGCTGGTGTGAATCCGAACTTCATGGAGTGCGTGTGGTCGCGGTGCTGGCGGCGCAACCACGTCGGCGAGGACTTGATGGAATTGCTGGGTTCGCGCTTCCACTGACCGAAGTCTCAGCATCGAACGCGTCGCATGGGGTCGAGTGCGTCGCCTGGGCTCCCTCCTGAGTCACCCTGTCTTACCGCGTCGGCGAGGACTTGATGGAATTGTTTGGGCTCGCGCTTCCACTGACCGAAGTCTCAGCAGCCACCGCGTCGCATTGGGTCGAGAGCGTCGCCTGGGCTCCCTCCAGAGTCACCCTATCTTGCTCTCGCGCAAGTGTCGGGCCCGAGTTCGCTGCGCGGGGGCGCTGTCGCAACTCTGTTATGTCGCGCGCATTCCTGGCGACGGCCGGCTTCCAGTCCGCTGTTGACGAGCGGGGCCGGGCGCTGCGCCTCGAAGATAGATAGACCGTGGCGTGCTCACAAGCACGATGTGAATGCGGCTTGCCCGTGCGGAGACGACGTCACATGTGTAATATATATATATATATATAATATATATATGCGCTTTACATGATATATAAATGTGGCATGCACATGTCGCATCAAACACGTAGGCTTTCATTGCATCCCGCCGCTTGCATCATGCAGCTATGTTGTGTCATGCCTGCTGTGTTGCACATATGTTGTCTCATGATTGTAGTGTTTTCTGCCCTGCGAAATCTGGGTTCCGTCGCATAAACACATGGCGAAATGCAGCCGGGTTGAACAACAACTCGGCTGTAATTCGTTTCCTCAATATTTCAGTTGTATACATGTACATTGGGCTTTCGCATCTGCGCGTTGCACATTCTTATAAGCATAAGGCGTGCACACTGCGTGTACGTACGCGGCAACACATGTATGATACATGCGCACATGCCGTTCTATGTGCAGATGGGTTGTATCGTGGGTGTGCATATCAATACGCATACGCGCATTTACATGTACATTGGTATATGTTTTGGTATATCCGTGCAAATGTGTGCATACATATTCGTGCCAGTTTGTATTCAGGTGTACACCGGTATGTATGTATATCTGTGCACATGGACATGTAAATTTGCGTATGTTTACACATCATCGTATGTATGGATTTGTATGCTTGCATGCCTGTTCATATGTGTATGTGTAAAGGTGTACATGTATGTTTTAGTAAGTGTTGCATATGTACAAGTTTGTATGCATGCGTACATGTGCGCATGTACACATGCATGTATGTATGCAATGTTCTCGCACACGGGCACATGGGTACATATCTCGACATGTGTATATGGATATGTGTAACGTTGGATAATGCCTGAGTTTGTCATACATTCTGTGACACGGGTAGGTATACGTGTGTATATGCTTGAATCCATGTACGTGTCATTCATGTATATCTATATATGTACACATGTAGCTTCGTAGTGTATCAATGTATGTCGGCGTTGGTGTGTGATAACATATATGCGTGCAAGTGAATGTGAGATTGTGTACCACGTGTGAATGTATCAACGCTTGGCGTTTTGATGTGCGTACGTATATGTGCATGTATATTTGCTTTTACATGCGTGTACACAAAAACATGTGCATGTTGCAGTATGTGTTGCATATGTGCAAAGGTGTATACTTTCCTACATGTACACATGTACACATGCATGTATGTATGCAATGTTCGTGCACACGTGCGTATATGTGCATATCCCGACATAAACATGTGGATATATGTGTGTATCTGGAGAACGTTGTAGTTTTGTTACATACTGTGTAACTTGGGTTTGTATGTGTGTATATGTACGAATACCTGTATATGTCATACATGTATATATGCACATGTATGTTTGTGCGTGTAACAGTTTATAAACATATATACGTACGACGTGCATATATATACACATGTGTGTTTGTGCCATAATACACATACGTGCGTGTGAATGTGAGCTTGTGTACAACTTGAGAATGTATCAGCGCTTCACGTTTCTAGGTACATATGTAGATACACACATCGATGTGCGTTTACATGTGTGTACTCATGCATCTATGTATGTATACATGTTTTTATATGTATATTGTACATGCATGCGCGCATTTGCGGAACTACCAACATATTAACACAAGTACGTATGTGTATATATTGAAAGTGTACAGAAGTTTATACGGGAGGGTGTAGGAGGATGTAAGAACGGGCGAGCTGTGCCCTCTCTTTCCACCACGGTGTGCCGCGCCGGCGGCCCCGAGTAGGCCGTCGCAGGATGAGGACGAAATTGAGGGGGGGGAGCAGGATGAAAAGGAGCAGGAGGAGGAGGAGGAGCAGGAGGAGGAGGAGGAGGAGGAGGAGGAGGAGGAGGAGGAGGAGGAGGGGGCAGGGGACGGGGCGGGGGATGAGGAGGACCAGTGCAAACCCAAGACGCATCAACGATGCTGCAATACACTGGGTTTCGTGGGTTCCCAGGGTGTTGCAATCTGGCCGAACTCCTACTGTAAGGTCGCCGCGCGGTCGTGCGCAAGGTCACCCTCTCTTCGGCTACAGCTCCCGGGATGCTGAATGGAGCATCGACCATCCTTGGTCGAAATTCGTTTCAGTTCTTCTTAATGCCTCTTGAGTTGGTCGAGATTCGCACCAGGAGGAGGAGGAGGAGGAGGAGCAGGAGGAGGAGGAGGAGGAGCATCAGCAGCAGGAGGAGGAGGATGAAGATGAGGATGAAGAGGAGCAGGAGGAGGAGGAGGAGGAGGAGGAGGAGGAGGAGGAGCAGCAGCAGCAGGAGGAGGAGGAGGTGGAGGAGGAGATGGAAGGGGATGGGGCGGGGGATGAGGAGGACCAGTGCAAGCCCAAGACGCATCAACAATGCTGCAAAACAATGGGTTTCGTGGGTTCCCAGGGTGTTGCATTGTGGCCAAGCTCCTACTGTAAGATCGCGCGTCGTCGTGCGCAAGGCCACCCTCTTCTAGGCTGCAGCTCCTGGGATGCCGAATGAAACATCGGCCATCCTTGGTCGAAATTCGTTTCAGTTCTTCTTAGTGCCTCTTGAGTTGGTCGAGATTCACACCAGGAGGAGGAGGAGGAGGAGCAGGAGGAGGAGGAGGAGGAGGAGCATCAGCAGCAGGAGGAGCAGGAGGAGGATGAAGATGAGGATGAGGAGGAGGAGCGGGTGGAGGAGGACCAGCAGCAGCAGGAGGAGGAGGAGGAGGAGGTGGAGGGGGAACGGGATGGGGCGGGGGATGAGGAGGACCAGTGCAAGCCCAAGACGCATCAACGATGCTGCAATACACTGGGTTTCGTAGATTCCCAGGGTGTTGCAATGTGGTCGAGCTCCTACTGTAAGGTCGCCGCGTCGTCGTGCGCAAGGTCACCCTCTTCTAGGCTGCAGCTCCTGGGATGCTGAATGGAACATCGGCCATCCTTGGTCGAAATTCGTTTCAGTTCTTCTTAGTGCCTCTTGAGTTGGTCGAGATTTACACCAGGAGGAGGAGGAGGAGCAGGAGGAGGAGGAGGAGGAACATCAGCAGCAGGAGGAGGAGGAGGATGAAGATGAGGATGAGGGGGAGGAGCAGGAGGAGGAGGAGGAGGAGGAGGAGGAGGAGGAGGAGGAGGAGGAGGAGGAGCAGCAGCAGCAGGAGGAGAAGGAGGAGGAGGAGGAGGAAAAGGAGGAGGAGGAGGGGGAGGGGGAAGGGGATGGGGCGGGGGATGAGGAGGACTAGTGCACGCCCAAGACGCATCAACGATGCTGCAATACACCCTCCCGTTCCAAGTTCCTCTTCAGAAGTCCCTACGAGGATTTTTCCGTTCCGGGGAACGCCTCCTTTCGTTCTCCGTCCTCCTGTTCTCCTTTTCCCGCTGGGATCAAACTCGAGCAGCAATGGCTAGATGGGTGTTTCCATTCAAATCCGACAGATCCTGACGAGTCCCACTCTACCCCACGCACCCATGACATTCCGTAGCGCCTTTCGGTCCTAGCGGCATTTTAGGACTATGGGCCGAGGCCGCAAATCATCAAGTTTAGACTCGAAGATTGCGGCCGGCAATTTGACTGCTGACGCGGGCGGAAGTCAATTGCAAAGAGATGTTCGCTCGCTGCAAAAATTGACTTTGAGCAACGTCGTGAAGAAGAACTTCGCATTCAATGTGTACTGTTCTGTACGGGCGTTGTGGGGTCACCTGTTGAAAAGGGCGACCCATTTCCAACAAACCGTTGTGTTTTTGACCGTCTACCTCATTGCCTGGCAATGTTCCAGCGCAGATGGTTTCCGCATGCCCATAGCCTTCCATGGTGGGGACATGACTTTGGACTTATGGCGTTCGTTGGTCACTGTTCATAATCCGATATCAGGGTTCACGTTCCAAGTTGCTGTGGCGATCTTCTCCTGTCGAATGACGAAGGAAGTGATGTCATGATACATTCAAGCCGGCAGAAACTCATCCGCATTTTTTCCGATTTGTCAATGCATGTGGCCAGCGCGGGGTGCCTGGGAGACGCGCGTTCAAAGATTTGTGCGAGCACGTTTGGCAGCAGCTACCGAAGTCAATAGATTTCGAACAGGGCCTCTCTTCAACGGTTCCGCATTTCTGCGCTATTGATGGGTCGCAAAACGCTTGCAAATGCGTAGAGGTTTACAAGGCGCTTCTGACGGGTTCGTGGGCTGGTAAGCAGAGGCCGCCGACTCCGCCTGCGCGAAGCACTAGTCAACTTAACTATTTTCTGCAAAACCGCGTGGGGTCACCGCCGGCCGTGTGGCTTGAGAGTAGTATTAGTAGTAGTCGTAGTGGCATAGGTAGTAGTAGTAGTAGTAGTAGTAGTAGTAGTAGTAGTAGTAGTAGTAGTAGTAGTAGTAGTAGTAGTAGTAGTAGTGGTGGTGGTGGTGGTGGTGGCGGTGGTAGTAGTGGTGGTAGAAGTAGTAGTCGTAGTAGTAGTAGTAGTAGTAGAAGAAGTAGTGGTAGTCGTAGTCGTAGTAGTAGTAGTAGTAGTAGTAGTAGTAGTAGT